GGCCCATCCAGAGGATTTAGGATAATCTCCCTCTCTTCCAGTGAGCGCTGAGCCACTTCAACTTCATTTCTCCTTTTCTGTGTAAACCAACAGTTTGACTTGTTCTGGAGATTAAGACCTGAACAGATTTTTGGGGAAGGGGCATTACTTTTTTTTTTTTTTTTTTTTTTTTTTTTACACACTTCCAAGCTGCTTCCATCAGTAATGAAATACTTGGCTTGGGAGTTCTGGAGTCCCAGTGTTTCAGCTTAAAGTTTCCACTTAGCCCTGCCAGGCACTAACTTTAAAATATCTTTTTTTTTTTTTTCTTTTTTATGGAGAACGCCTCCAAAAGGTGCAGCTGTGTGCTGGTTTCATCTTGCACTTCATAGCGTTGTTGGCACCACTGAATGCAAAGAATGCCACTGTCTCCCACACAGCACTGGTGCCCAAGGACTGTTGAGGCCTGTCTATGTCAGTGGTTTGGGAAGGGCTTAGGTTTGGAGCGAGGACTCTCTTCTGTTCCATGTGATTGGTTGTTACCAGGGCAAAGGGGGGAAATAGAACTTGTGGAAAAAGCAGCCTCCAGTGTGTCATCAAAAATTCTTTCTACAACCTGGACACCTAGTTCATTGGTGTTCTTGTCAATGATGAAAACTGATTCCTCTCTTTTGAAATAATGTGTATCTTGGATTCAGCACTCTTAAGCCTTTCTGCTGCTCTTTCTTCTTTTCTTCCTCCTTAAGCAATACTAACTGCTTTTTGTGAAAAATGATTCAGTTAAGGGAAAAACCGAGGTTGGATTGTAGTAGAGGACTCTTCACTCAGATTCTTAAGAGTGGACTTGGTTCTCCAGACTTTTACACTGTGTTGCAACAGGCTTCAAAACTAGAATGCATTCTTCATTGAGGTCCAAAAATCTTTCTGGAAGATGAAATCCAATGAGAATTTATATGTAAACTCTAAGAGGATCATATCTTAACTTGTATTTTACTTGGTAGCTTCACACTGTATGAGATATTTTTTGTATTTTTTAAAATTTTTTATTTATTCATTCATTTATTTTAATTTGACCAGAGAGAGAGAGAGCAAGAGAAGGAAAGCGGGAAAGCAAGCCACCAGGACCAGGACTCGAACCATAGTGGGCCCTGTGGGAGTGTCCAGTGCCTTAACCACCGTGCCACTTACTGGTCCCCTTTTTGTATCTTTTTTATGTTCTGTTATATTTTGATTTATCAAACTGTATGATATGGTTGCTTTGTTATGGATTTCTCAAAGACCAACTTGCCAAATTTGGTAGTTTCTAGCATTTGTCATTCACTGTTGGAATGTCTAAAATTAATCTACTGGAAAAGTAAATATTGACCTTGTGTATTGAATAGAGTTAAAGGAATCATCAACTGGAGGATTGTTGTAAAAATGCATATTTTGTTTAGAATACTTTTTATACTTTCCATGATAATTGAGCCTCTTGCTTGAAGTAGATAATATGAACGTTAAAGCTTCTTGAGTAGGGTTTCCACATTCCCTATGTCTAAATATTCTAAGGGAAAATGGATTAAATCACAGACACTACTAAGGAATAAGAAATTTTTGAGTTTTTTAAAAATAATTTCTCCTTATAAATTTTAAACCTTTAAAAAAAAACCCACTGCAAAATCTTGATCAATCATGATGATTCATACATTTGAGCAATAAACCATTTTTCAATGTTAAAAAATTCGGTGGGAAAAGTACTACATTACAAAAGGAGTGCTTATACTTTCTTTTCTATCTGTGTAGATTTTCTTTTTTTAGTAGTCTGGTGTGCGTGCAGTTTGGGAAAAGTTCCAGTGTTCCTGCAGAGACCTGGTTGATATCACAGTGCTTTTCAGAAACTTCATCTGACACTTGAATGAGTAAAACAAATGGTATTTTGTAGCTCAGGATACTGTGGGTAAACTAATATCTTTTTGCCAAAGAACCATCACAAGGAAAATAGGAAGGTTTTACTATTTTATTTCTTCAAACAGAAATGCAAAAAGAGGGAGATGGAATCCTTTTGTATGTAACGTTTGCCAACCCACCAATATGACAACTGTTGGGTGCATATTTCACTCACAATTAGATGAAATCTTTAATTATTATTCATTTTAACTTTCATATTTGCCTGCAGAAATGATCATGTTGATAAGATTCTGGAAGGAGATAAACCTTTATTAAGTAATTCCATTTTTAGAGTTGATGTTAAAAGGTTTTTTTTTTTTTTTAATTTGAAAAAAGTACCTGTGTAATTTTTATGAGGGAAAGGGAAGAGGAGTAGTACCTTAGTTGTGTGAGTGTTGTGTGGATATGTGTGTTTGCGTATTTATTATTTAATCGTTAGCTTTTTTAAGTTTTGGGGGTATGCTAAGACCTATTAGTTTGAGAGTGCTAAGGAAAGACACTGTAGTGATCCTAATTGGTAGCATTTCTCTACACCATTTATCCACTTTCATTTTTTCCCTTCTATGACATCTGCTGATAGTAGGAAATTTCATTTTGTCCAGACAGAAGGTGTTTGTGGGAGAGGATACTTTTGTGAGTTGGTAGTCTAATATAGCAAAGGGAAGTGGTTTATAGTTTATCAGAGGAAATGAAATGGTGCGCTCTTTCATTTTGTAGTATTTCTTTTTATTTTAGAATGCTTTTAATTTATGAAAAAAGGATGAAACTGTTAAGGCATGTGTACTTTAAGCACTTTTTCTATACATTTACATTTCCTTATGTAGAGATTTGGGAAATGTCATTGTGGGCGCTTTTCAGGTGATCACACACATACCTTTTCTTTTCCAAATAATATATCCTAAAATATCATGTTACCCAAAGATAGATTTCTAGTCCCATCCCTGATATTCTGACTCTAGAGTGGCACCCAGGAATTTGTATTTCTAGCAAGTTGGTGGTAAGGCTTGAGCAGATGTGGGGACAGGAGATGTGGGGACAGGAGAGATGAAAGTCCATCCAGCTTTCTAAACAGTGACTGTCTGAAAAGTGAGTGGCATATCCGGTCTGCCTTGACAAAAAATCCCAATGTGATGGACACAAGCATGATGTGGCAGTAGAACAAGGCCACCCAGAAAACTGAGTGGTAAAGTTTTTACAGGGCCTTAAGTTCAAGTGAGTGTCAGGATGCCCTTCCTCAGGGACAACGTTATAGTAGAGTCTTTGTAGCACAGAAATGACTCAGGAATCTATCACCTGCATTGACAAAATTTGCCCTTGTTCAGGGTTATAGGGCTGTATTGTCCAATATTGTGGTCACTAGCCACATAGAATTCTTCCAGTTTAAATGAGTTAAAATAAAAAAATTCATTCCTCAGTTGCAGTGGCTACATTTTAAGTACTCAATAGCCATTGTGGCTAGAAGCTGCATTCTTGGTGAGCACGACTATAGAACCTTTCCACCATCACAGAAAGTTTTACACTGGGTCTTCAACAAGTTCATGAACAGTGTGTATGATGAAAAGCTTATGTATGGGTGTCTAAGGTTTTTTTTTGCACCAGGTAAACTTGTACTTTAATTCTACTTCCCACACATTTTTTTAAAGTCCCCTTGTATTAGAAAGTGCTGTAGGATTTTCCTGCATAATTTAGTTCATCTCCTTTCATCCTGAGTGGTTGCCAGTGGCTAATACAGTCAGGTCACTCATGACCATGTGTCACACAGTATTACAGTCTGAAAGGGTGTTAAAGCCAGAGGTTTAGGGTGGCAAAATGAACGACTCAAGTCATCCTTAGTTACCTGAGATCAAAATTTAACAGCATAACTTTACTTTTGTATTACAAACCTGTTTTTGTTCTATGTTGCCTCTGAGTACTTGAAATAGGTGCTTAATTAAAAATGTGCTGGACATGGTATATGGCTTGTAATAAAGAGTTATACCACATAAAGAGTTATCTCACTGAAACAAAATGACAAATATTTGGTCTGTCTTAGAGTAAATAACCTACCTATCCCAGGTAGGAATGCAAGTGATGAATTTTAAGTATCTGAAAAGTTGTTTATAGACTGATAGCAAACAAGTTGCACATCATAGATATTTTCATAAAGACTCTCCTTTATATTTTATAGTGTGAGAAATTTGAGGTGAATATATTTAGCTCCCTCTTCTGGCATATTTTGAGAAAAATATTTCAGATAGTTTCCTTTTTATGGAATGCGAATATAGTTATCAATGTAATTGTCAAAGGAAGGTACTTGCGAATGTCTTTCCAATTAAAGTATTTTTTAAAATTACTAAACATGTAAATAAAGCTTGGAAAAACAATTTATGAAAACCTCAGGTTTCTTAAGCTACTAAATGACCAAGATAGATGTAAGCAAATGAAGACTCCCACCAGCAGTTCAGAGTAGCTTAATCTGACATCACATGGGCAGAGCTCATGTATTGGCTTTCATATCTGACCTACCATTTGCAGGGCTTATGACAAGAGTACAATAGGAGGCCCAGGTATCCTACAACTAATATTTTAGTTTTAAATCATGTTAACAAATCCTCTTACCTGGACAGTAACTCCTTCCTAATGACCGGGAGGCCAGATATGAATTCAGATTTCTTGGGCTCCTCTGAGTTCTGCCCAAGAGCGTGGTGATGAGAGGCGAGCTGGACCCAGGCTCATTTGGGGTTTTTCCCTATATACCAAAACACCAGTCCATCCAGAGCCTCTCCTACCCAGCCCCAACCCACCCTGGGCCCAGGGGCATACCCAGACAAGGAAGTCTGCCCTGGGGAGGATGACTGTGGGAGAGAGGCCCTTACTAGACCATTCGTCCAGGATTCTGGGTAGGTCCTCTATGTATTCTAGAAGAGGAGAAGTGGGCATGGCCCGTTGGCCCCAAACGTGTGGAGAACAATGTAGGGTAGAGATCCTCTTCCAAGAGTGAAGTTTGCTCCTGCCAGATGCAATTAAGTTACTTTGTATTTAAGTATCCTTTTTTGTGATCTAATGCACTCAAAGACCCCAAATTAAATAAAATGATGGATTTTATTTTTCTGCAGCTTTGACTCTTCCAGATCTTGCAGAGCAGTTCGCCCCTCCTGACATTGCCCCACCTCTTCTGATCAAGCTTGTGGAAGCCATTGAAAAGAAAGGTAACCAGACTGCTAGAGAGGATCAGTTCATTTGCGGTACCCTTACCTCATGGTCGTCATAGTTGATTCGTGTTTGTCTCTCGGGGCTTCATTAAATAAATTTCTTATTACTTGCTATATGTAGAAACTATATGCTAGGCATACAACTATTTGGGGTTGTGTTCTAGAGAGTCTATACTTCTGAAATCTAGATTAACATGTATTTACTATATGGAAACTATTAAAATTTCCATAATATGATAAATGTGATTAGCTTGCTTCTTACTGGCCAGATGGTTTTGCCAAAATTACTGACATGCCAGAAAAGATGAATAGTAGGAGTTGACTTCCAAATATATTTGGTGCACATCTAGAATAGATACTGGATGGAAACTGGAATGTCTCTCTGGCAGCAGACGCACAGGTTCTCCAGAGAGCTGGGTTTTGCATACACAGTCTGTTTTGTATCCTAGGTCTGGAATGTTCAACTCTATACAGAACACAGAGCTCCAGCACCCCAGCAGAATTACGACAGCTTCTTGATTGTGGTGAGTGTCATGAAGCTAGAAATACAAATGGAAAAGACAAGTCTAGCTTTTCTGTTTCAGGTAATATCCCTTTAACCCCAACATATACATATACAATTTAATCCATGCAATATATTAACTAAAAGGAACTCAGAAACCACACAGTTTCCTCTACCCTATCATGGTGACAATGCAAACCAATGCAGACCTTCAACATCTGTCTCCCGAGTGGGGTGTAAGTGGGTGTGTGTCTGCCCACACTCATGTTGGCTGTCATCGGTGTTGAACCACTGGGTCCACCAGGAATTGCAGAGGAGAGAAACAGCCTCTTGGAATTTCCCTGGCTCTGCATATCTATCATCTTTCTTTGGTCCTGCAGTTGATTACATATAATTCAACTGGATCAGTTAAAAAATCTTTTTAAGCTGGGCCAACCCAATGGCCTGGTGATTAAGGGAGCCAGATTCCACATAGCCAACCCATGTGGTTTGAATCCTATTCCCAGTGACTTGGAAAACACACTGGGTGAATGAGTGTATGTTCCTCAAAACCCAATGGAGAAGAAGGGGTTATAGGCATGAACATGCTGCCATAGAGGATGCCTCCCTTTCTCCAAGCACCCCCCCCTTACCTAGAAGCTCATGCACTCTGACAAAATTTCAAGCAAATTTATTTATAAACCTGTATCTTTTAACAAACATCTCTTCTGATGTCCTCTTTCTTTTTCTTTTTCCCTGTTTTTTCTTTTTCCTTTTCCTCTCTTTTCCTTTTCCTTCCTGTCTGACTGGCTTGCATTATTCCTTTCTTACTTGCTTGCTTTTTGATGTCATATGTACATTAAGTAACATCATGATATTGTATTCAGTGGTGTACTGATAAACCAACCCTCTGGGAAGAGAAAGTCTTATTTGTAGAATTGGCTCATTTTTGTGGTATAGATGTTTTCACCATGGTTGACTTTAGCCCATCCAGTATGATGTCACTGAATGTGAAGCTGGGACCAATGAGAACAGTTGGCTTCTATGAGCTGGTATAAGCCATGTCCAGCACATCATTGGTTAAGTAACACTAGTTAAGGCAGCAAAAAGGGGGCTTTATTATTTGCCTTTCCCCCTCTTCTTTGCCATACAGAAGAAAAACAGAAAAGCATTATAAATCAATTTCCTTGCCATGATTTGGCAGATCTTCTTAAGTCAACTTCTAGACTCTCTCAGATCTTTCATTCCCTCACAATACTTTTTCTTTAGAAAAAGAATTTTCTGCCTCTGTTACTTAACTGAATTTAGATTAGGACATTTGAACCAAAAAAAAAAAGAAATCGAGTTTTAGAAGAAGCTCCTTCAGAAGTATAATTTTATGAATTATGCTATTAAATAACTGAGCATTTGACATGGGAGGCAGCTTCAGCATGAAGCAATTTATGAATATTTTCTAGAAAAGATATTTCTAAAAGGAGACTAGATCTTTATCAGCAAATACTTTCACTTGAATGTACTGGCTAAGTGTTTTGATATTTAAAAAAAATAAAACTTTGGTTCTCTTTTGCACATGGAAGGAAATCAGTCTTGTACATGTAGAGTACATTCTTTGCTGCCAGATCTTCTGTACCTCCCACAAAGTAGGTCATCGGGAGATGATGGGCTTAGAACACAAGGTGAAAAGGCTTGTTTTTCCGTATTTCTAACAGCTTTACCGGGGTGTTATAGAAACACTACATTTTGTCCTTAGCCAGTTGAGACAGAGAATGCATGTTTTGGTCAGAAAACTGGTCAAATTGAACACGGTAAAAGTCACAGGAAATGCTTAGACATCAGAGACTGATGCAATGGAAGATATTTGAGACCTAGTGGTTAGAGTTTGAATGTGACCAATACAAAACAATGCAGTTTAACTTAAAAAAAAATAAATAAATAACAAAACTTCACATTACCCTTGAGAGGCAGTAAATAACCAAGATTCACGTCAGCAGTATATTTTGATAGATAAATACCCTTTCCTTCCCCATTGAGATCAAAATATATATGTAGAAAACTGGTTTCTTTTGGGTTTTATGCTGTAAAAGTAAATTTTGTGGCCAAAAGAAAAAAAAAAAAAGTAAGTGTTGTCCAAACTTGGGATTGGATCTACCAGAATGGTTTCCAGTTCAAAGATTTTTCAATACATAAAATTGTAATAGTCTTGAAGAAGTTCTGAGATGAGTCACTTATACCTAAAAGGGAAAGAAAAAATAACAACAACTACAACAATAACAACAAAAAAACATGGCTTTTAACCATCCTTGTGAATTACAGGTGTTCGAAAAGAATGGATGTGAGAGACAATAGCCCGCTTTTATTATACTTTCTAAGTTATTTCATCCCATCCATACATTAACTTTGTGATACAAGCATTAGTTCCTTTAACTCACCAGAAAAGGAAGCTGACCTTCAGGTCAATAATTTGTACATAGTTCAGCAATTGAGTGGCAGACTTGTATCTGAATTGTTTTTCCTCCAAAAGTTTGTGATTTTTCCCCCCATTACTTTACTCCAGAAAAATTGTTTGTTTCTTTTCTTATTTGATTTTAATGGTATGAATTTTGACTGGACATTTTTGGCTCCTCTTAACCTGAATCAGGTATCCTCAACCTCGACATTATTTGACATTGTAGGCTGGGGAATTCTTTGTTGAAAGACAGGAGACTGTCCTTGTGTTGAAGGTTGCTTAGCCATAGTTTTAATGCAGAAAATAAATTTTTTCTTTTAAGATTTTTTTTTTTTATTTCTTCCATAAGAAAGAATGTTATCCCCAGCAAGGTCTTCACATTTCACACTACAGTTTACCCTCAACTGCAGCCAGCTAGGGTCACGTGCATTCCTGGTGTGTACAGGGAGATTTAGAGACATGAACCCAGTGCCTTCCCATGCAGCTACAGTATCGTGGAGTGTTGCATTATTGCTGCATCACTGTGAAATTCAGAAACGTTAGAAGTTATGTTACCAAAAAAAAAAAAAAATACTGTCATGAACGGTAGTGGAATTTGACATGAGGTGAGTTTATCAAAAGACCTGCATGAGGTAATTTCATTCAAACATTTTAACGACTCTTTCAAATATACCACATGTTAGAGAAGAACTTTACAATTCAGCCCACTTAAACCTTCTATGTGCTGGACCCTGATGCATGCAAGAAGAACAGGTGAGAGTCACAGTCCCTGCCTTTAAAATACCCACAGTCTGGAAAGAGAGGCATGAAATCCCACATAATTATCATACTGTTGGGGAAGCATCTTGATAGAGGGATGGCTTGTCAGCACTGCAGGATCACAGAGGCTTGCCTGAGAAAGGGACAATATGGATGGTTAGGGTCTTCACATTTATACCGCATTACAAATGGTCTATCATGTTTTCAGGATTAGCAAGTTAACTAATACTGATTTAGCAATATTAATTTGCTGAGCAAAGGGTTATTAAATGAAGAATTTAGGGGGCAAAGTACATAAGATGTGGGGACAGAAGTTTGCTAAATAGTGACTGTAAAGTGTTCCTATTGTGCTAGGGTTTTATTTGACAATATTTAATAATTACACTAGAAATTCCATTTCTTTCAATGTAGATCCTTCATGCAAAAATCTAATACAGGTCTAAAGTACTTAGGAGAATAACTGTTTTGGACTTCAGTTTTGTTTTTTTTTTTTTTCAGATTACGGAATATTTGCGTGTATATATATAATGAGATCTCTTTAGGTGAAAGAGATCTAGGGGTGAAACTTAAATCTAAACATTGAAATTCATTTATGTTTCATATATTCATTTTTTTTCTATGTACCTTCTACATATAACCTGAAGGTAATTTCATGCAGTATTTCTGCATTGCAGTATTTTGACTGAGATTTGTCACATGCAGTCAGGTGTGCAATTTTCCACTTGTGGTATCACACAGGCACTCAAAAAGTTTCAGACTAACACGTTCCCTTTTTACTTTTTAAGTTTACTAATTCTTGTTCCCAAATTGACCTATTCATATTTTATGCCAAACTAACTTTTCTTAGAGCTTTCTGGTGTTGTGATTATCCTTCATAAGATCTGCTTACTCAGTGGAACAAATTTGTTTCATAATGATAATAAGTCCAAGGAATTTAGACTCAACCTAAAGGGATTTGTAATATCATACAGAATTCAAGGTTTTCCATCCCCTTCTACTCACTCATGCTCAAACACCGTGGAGTAAACGGATTCTTTCTCATTCTCTCCTAGACACTCCAGTCGATTAACGGTTATGTTAGTTCTTAATAATGTCTGAGATAGTCTGATAACCACAGGTTAGATATGTAAGAGTCAGAATTAGGGAGAAATAATCTGAAAATGCTCACATCATCTTTAGGGGTATTCTTGAGATTGCTTGCTAAAATTCTATAATATCTTACTGATTAATAAATCACTCTCTTAAACTTACATTGATCCTGAGAGGCAGAACTTATCAAGTGTTAGGAATTCTGGGAAGTTACATTTTTTATTTTCCTGTTGAAGTTTCAGGAAACATTTACTATATGGCTGACAGTCCCCTACTATATGGCTGGCAACTTTTTCCATCAGGGCAGGACCACTCTCCATATGAAAATGGAAATGTTTGAAAGGCTATCTTAGTTTTTTCAGGCTCAGTCTATTATAAAAACAAAATAAAACAAATACCAGAAATTGATTTCTCATAGTTCTAGAGGTAGACCGCCCAGATGGGAGTGTTGGCACATTTGGTTTCTTTCCAGGCCTCTCTCCTTGGCTTGCGATGGCCATCTTCTTGCAGTGTCCTCACTTGTCTTTTCTCTGTACGTGTGCATCCTTGGGGCTCTCTGGGTGTGTCCTAATCTCTTCATATAAGGGTATCAGTTTGATTGGATTAGAGTTCATTTCACAAGTCTCGTTTTAACTTAATCACCTCTTTACAGGTCCTAACTCCAAATGTAGTCTGAAGTACCAGGGATTTGGGTATGGACATGAATTTGGGAGGAGCACATACCGGCCATAACAGAGGCATTCATTTTTGTCTCTCCAGAGTCTGGGAGTATATTCCTGGCATCAGGGACCGTGGGCCGGGCATGCTAAATGTTTACAGTAGATAGGATGGACATATACCAAGAAAAATTATTCTCCCCAAAATGCCAGGGACTACCCCCATGAGAAGCACTGCTAGTAAATATTCTGTGTCTTATATTTACCCTTATATTACTTCCTATCTTTTGTCACACTTAACTGAAGCGTTTAGAAAATTGGCCCAGTGGATGCATAAAATAAATATCTGAAATATTTCTCAAAATGCTTGTTTTCTAGATACGGCTTCTGTGGACTTGGAAATGATCGATGTGCACGTTTTAGCAGATGCTTTCAAACGCTATCTCCTGGACTTACCAAATCCTGTCATTCCAGTAGCCGTTTACAGTGAAATGATTTCTTTAGCCCAAGGTTTGTTTTCTTTTCTGAGAACCTCGTTGAGCACATGTGAGATGGGAATGTGCTTATAAACTCTATCAAAAGCTGCACATAAAGAGAGAGCATTTGTTGATAGAAAATAGTAGTAGTGGCCCGCACCTCCCCCTCGCCACCACCAAAACTTCCCTTTCTTACCAGGGCATCCAGTAGAAGCCCCAGGATCTTGTTTGCTTAGGAACTGTCCACCTGTTGAAATGGCTAATTGTTAACCTTTATCAGTATTAACAAAGTTCAATACATCAGTGAAGGACACGGTGTTCCAGGTTCTAGTGTCAGATTCAGAGAACCAGGGCTAAGACCTAGAGACTGAAGAGACATTCTTGTCATTGTCACAGAGTGGCCCTAACAAAGGGCATTAAAAGCAAAGGGCCTCATCGTTTTAGGAGTTCAGGCTCAGTAAAGTGCTTTAGGTACAGGAAGTTGTGGTTGGTAACCTTCAAAGCTAAAACCTGTGTTACTTATCTGATGCTCCTCCAATTAGCCAATCACACTTGGAGCTGCTCTAGAGAGGATAGATTTCTGCCAGCACGCCCTGAACAACTTGTGGTTTTTTCACACGAAGAGTTTCTCGCATTTCTTCCATTCGGCTTGAGATTTCTACTTTCTCATAATACATTTTCTAATGAGAAGAACAAATGTCCTGTGTACTTCTCCTGACGGCTTTTTAAGATGACTCCTTTAGTAGCTTGGATAAAAGGACAGAACTTTTCTAGGTGTTTATGCACTGGTACCTAGAAGCAGTCTCTTATTCTTTGTTCTGTTTGTCTTTCTTGCTTGCCTGCTTTCAACGTGTAGAAGTACAAAGCTCCGAAGAATATACCCAGCTATTGAAGAAGCTCATTAGATCGCCTCACATACCTCATCAGTATTGGCTTACACTTCAGTATCTGCTGAAACATTTCTTCAAGCTCTCTCAAACCTCCAGCAAAAATCTCTTGAATGCAAGAGTGCTCTCAGAAATTTTCAGCCCTATGCTTTTCAGATTCCCAGCAACCAGGTAAGTGAACGAAGAGAAACGTGAAGTTTGGGGTAATTGAGGGTAGCCCTAAATTAGTTGATTATTAAATGTATTCTAAAGATAGGAATTCACAGATGCACGTGCAGATTTTTACAGTGAAAATGCGTTTGTTTTAAGGAAAAGATTTCTAATAATATTCTCTTTCTCGCAGCTCTGATAGTACCGAACACTTCACAAAAGTTGTAGAAATTTTAATTGCAACTGAATGGAGTGAGCGACAGCCTGCACCAGGTAATATTTTCAAACATTCTCTCACTGTTCATTTTCTGGAGCCTTAAAAATGGTAGCTTTGCACTTTCTCTGAAGTTCCACAGTTGCTTGTAGAATTGTGATTCGGTGTCACCTTGTGCTTTATAGAAAAATTAGCCAAGGGGTAGTGCGTATGGTAAAGATGATCTGGATGTCAACATTTGTAGATTTTTAAATGATCTTGGTTTCAGATGAGAGTTGGGAGAGTTCCCTGTAACTTTCAACATTTATGCTTCAGGTTGTTGAGTAAATTTATGGAGTTCATTTTAGTTGTTGACATTTTTGTTTTTCTTTCTAATACATATAAAGTAGGGGATTTATAATTACTATATAATTTAAAGTATTTTGGAATGTGTTTTTTGGAAGCGTGTATGCTGAGAAACGTCCGTCAAAATAAACATTTTCAATAATGCAAGCAGTATGAAACCAGAGCCTTCACTACAGCCAGTTAGAGCAAGCCGGACACTTCTTTGAAAGCAGGCCGGCGTTCAGTTAGCCATTTAACAAAGCAGGAAATGTAAACCATGTTAGCAGTGGATTTCATTTAAACTCAGGTATTTTTCTTCTTCTGTGGAAAGACGAAACAACCTCACTTTGCTATGTACTGGTTAGAAGTTAGCTAATAGGGGCTGATCGTTTTTAGAAGAGTGGTTAGGTTCTACAAGTGAATTGAAATTTCAGGACTAGTAAAAAGTGGCACTTAGAGTCTTAATTTATGTCTGAAATTTAAGTGAAACACCATGAGTTTATTATTTATTACAGGTAACTAATACAAATGACCACATTTATCTCTGTTTGAGCATGGAGGCCCAGTTGTCAGTGTCATGCAATGGAGAAATAAGTTGTGGGGTTTTTTTAAATCAGGTATTGCAAAGTCTTATTTTTTTGCATTCAGGTAGGGGCAGCCTGAGAGAGGTAAAAGCCTAAAGTTAAAATGCACCTTCAGGGATGGGATAGAGGATGGGGTAGGTAACCACTCAAGATGCAGATATTGGGAAGGGTTCTGTGGTCAGACCCAGTGTACAGTACCAAAGGTGAGGCAGACATCAGATACAGTAGAGGAAGCCAACATGGTGTGTTCCAGATTACAACCAGTAGGTCCTTTAACAGGGATGCCCAGAATTGTGGTAAACTGCTCAGAGATGGTCAACAAGTAAGGCCTAGGACTTCAATCCAGAGGTGGCCAAAAGGTGATCCATGTGACTGCTTGGGTCAGTCATGAATGAGTTTGGAAGGTCTGTGCTGGTGCTCAGAGACTGCCTTTGGGCTTGGTAGGAGAAAATGGGGTGGGATGTAGAACGTGTCCCTATTGTTGCCCACCTTTAGACAAATCACAGAGATGGGGAAGGAAGAAGGCTAGCAAGAATAAACAGAACCCAGGGCCAAAGGGCAGAGCCAAGATCATCCATTTCCTCCTGACTGTGCTGAGGCATGTCTTAGAGATAACGGAGAGGGCTAGAGGGTAGTCCTGGTCTCATTGGCCTCTGAGGGAGAGGGGAGAGTGTGGAGATGCCAAAAGCCAGGCAGGGCTTGATAGGTAACCACAAGTATATTTACCACTTGGGAGTTTTTGAGAATTTCTACTACATAAGGTATAACAGAATCAGTGGTGGAGTTTAATTAGTTTGACTAGTATAAACTTGTTAAGTATCTTTATCAGTCTCAGCCTAATTCTACCAAAGCAAAAGTTTATCCTTAGCCATTTTCATAATGCATCCTCAAAGCTGCTTGATATGTCAAAGGACACTATATTCCCTACTGAGAAATTGGTGTGCCAATTTCAAAGGAGGATTAGTTCCATCAGCTCTGCTAAAGAAGGACAAAGCCTTGAACGTTTGCTAGATCATCCCAGTATTCATGCGGTCTCTTCAAAAAAATTAAATCCAAGTCATTGTTAAGCTCTAGTTTGAGCCGTTTTTCCCCTTTGTGTGATATCTCTTAGCTACCCTGAAAATTGTATAGGCCCTTTGGAATTGAATGGATGCTTCAATATCTCTCACTTGTGAAAACATTGTACTAACCACCCCGGGATGGCGGGGCGGGGGACAAAAACGTCCTCATCCTGAACACCTTTGTACTTAGGAATGGCTTCAGTGGCAGGTGTCTGGCAGGGCACCCTGGGTCAAAGAAATAATTTCTTAGGCCTGGTAATATTCAGCATTTTCCTGAAGTTCTTCATCATTGCCCCAACATGTGCTAGTACCAGAGAGCTTTGGAAGCACAACTGCAGACCTCCAGTAAGTGGTCACAAATCAGTCATTTGCAGTAACTCTGTTGTGAATAGAAGTCAGTCCTCGAATGCTATTTAAGAGGGACAAGAAGCAAGACTCTTCTGGGCAGGTAGACCTGTTTTCTAGTTTTTACCATGTAGACTGAAATGTATGAGCAAAGCCGATGATATTGGAGGCAAAGAGTCGATGCAGCTAAGACCCACTAGCACATAGTATCAAATTAATAGTAGGAAGGAGTGCACAATTCTTAGTACAAAAAGAACTTATGAGATGCAGTCGGTGATGCTTGGGGTAATTGGCTAGACAGAAAAAGCTTATGGAAGAAATTGGACTTGAAATGGGCCTTGCAGAATAGGTACAGGTTGAACAGGGAAAGGAAGAATAATATTTTGATTGAAGGAGTTGAACGTTTTTTTCCTTTGTAAATTGCAAAGTACAAAAGTAATGGCTTAGTATTTTACAAAAGTGATAGATATTTTAAGGGACAATATCATCAAAAGCATCGTCCAGCTCTGCCACAGTAGACATGAAGAAACTGTGGCTCACAGAGATTGGGAGGTTCACCCTGTGTGTACCTGACTTGTGTGCCAGAGCTAGCACTGCAGAGGAGCTGCCTCTTGGACTCCAGCTATTCTCTCTGTTGCCCCCTGCTGCCACAGTAGACATGAAGAAACTGTTGCTCACAGAGATTGGAGGTTCACCCTGTGTGTACCTGACTTGTGTGCCAGAGCTAGCACTGCAGAGCTGCCTCTTGGACTCCGGCTATTCTCTCTGTTGCCCCCTGCTGGCTGTACCTTCGTGAGCAATGGGGCTGCATTTAAGAACCAAAAAGTCCTCTGAAGTTTCTAGCATGTAAAAAACTAACAGTATGTGAAGTTAGATTTTAAGGGTCACATATATGAGGGTCTTCAAAAAAGTCCATGAAAAATGTTTATTATGAGAAAATATAGATTTAAAAAAATGTTTACACAAGAATAAACCTATACTTAAAGGCCCCTTGTATATTCAAAAGCCACAATGTAATGTTTATAGCTTTCAGGGTAAGGCTCCAAATCCCTCCATCAGATGTACAGTGAAAAAAACAGTGGACTTCTGAGTCAAATAGATCTGGATTTGAATCTCCACTCTCATCTTGTCGAGTTCTTCATCAAGTAACTCAGCTTTTCCAAGTTGCTTTTTTCCAGACTATGAAGTGGGGATGATACCTCTCTCCTGGGGTTCTTGTGAAAATTAAATGAGCTGATTAAATACTGAAATTCCTGACCCCATTCTTTCATTACTATCCATTGCAGCAACTCTAGCTTTTAATGCCCTGCCAGACCTGGCTTCGTTGAGCAGCTCAAATCCTTCAGTCTACCATTCCGAGTTAGTTGTCTGAATCCTGTGAGGCCAGTCTCCCTACTGACTTGGCATGCTCAGCCAATAGAGTCAGGGCTCTGGGAGCCCATGGGGGCTTTAGTGCAACTCTAGGCAGCTCCTACACCAGTGGGCTCATGCTGTCTTTTTGTATGATACCCTTTCTTCTGTGTTGGAAGGCGTGGTAAGACGAGTGGTCTGGATTTCAGCACTCTTCCCCCTGTCACCTTGCCCAGGTTACCTTTGCACAGTGCACAAAATGTACAACCACACTTAGTGGCTCCAAACAGCACCATGCATTTCATCTGCATCCAAGGAGCTCCTCCCCCTACTTTATGGGCAGGTTAAGTTGACCCATTAAAAATGTTTATGCCCTTAAGCCCTTTGTCCTCTTATACTTAACTGTTCTGCAATGTTTCCTGTAAGTTTAATCTTGCTCAATTCTATAATGCAAGGACAAAGCTTCTTTTTCTCTTTTTGAGCTCTTCCTAACATAAACTGGACATAGCATAATAATCATCCGAATTTTTTTTTTTTTTTACTTCTTTGATAAACTTCACAACTTTCAAAGAACTTCCACACACCACTCATCTAAGGCAGCCAGCAACCCTCTGAATTAAGAATTCTCCTCTTTTATGGAGGGAAACTAAGATCTGGAAAAGTGTGGCTCACAGAGTAGGTGCTCAGAATTCTGTGGATAGATTGTTGTTCCCTTGGTTACTGAAAGTCTTAAACAACTGAACAGCAGGTTTTCTTGAATTATTCTGTGGTATATGTACCCTATTAAGTTTTAGGTAGCTACAGTAGATTTCTATAGGGCAACCAAGGTAAAACAGGTCTACTTAACCCACGGTGCCTTTGAATGAAACCCATTATAAGTGTATTTACATATTTCAGACTGCATGGATATATTCAGAAATATTAATGTAGCATAATTGAAGTCTAATATTGCACCCTCAAGCCCAGAGTGGAAAATAAATGACTCTTTCTCCCCCCTGCACTTCTACACCTGTCAAAGTTAATTTTTAACCACCAACACATTGCAAAACATTCGTCCTGAAGAGCCTGATTCATAAATCTTGTTTTAAAGGCTCTAGGCTTGGTTTTCTACCAAGACGAAAGCAAGCACTAAGGTAAAGGGAAATGACTTTCAAAGAGTTTTCGTTTTCTCTGATTTATTTTTTATTGAATTTAAAATGTAGTTTGATATTAGAGGTTGTTTCAAAGGAGAGAATGAGACCTTGAAAAAAATGCACATATTTAGATGGGTAGAAGTCAATAGAGGCAGGCCACGTTTGGCTAATAGCAAGTGGTTTGATATTAGAGGTTGTTTCAAAGGAGAGAATGAGACCTTGAAAAAATGCACATATTTAGATGGGTAGAAGTCAATAGAGG